GAGAAGGGTGAATATCTTGATAGTGAAGATGAATTACTTTATGGTGGATCAAAGGTATAAACGTACTTAATATCATCTGGCCTTTATTTCACATAAATTGTATATAATCATTTGTTTTCATAGACAAGTTTTTCATTATTGAGAAATCTATTCATCTTGTTACTGGTCTTCTGGAAATCGCATTGGAACGTCGCTGGTTGCAAACCAGTACACGATGTATGGAAGTTTCTCAGTTTTTGGTCCAAGCTATGTGGTTTCAAGATAATCCATTAGTCCAATTGCCATATGTGACTACTGATGTTTTTAAAATAATGAAGCAAAGAAAAAAGAATATAAGGAGTATAGTACAATTGCGAAAAATGAAGGACGATGATATTAAGTACGTTTATACCTTTGATTTCTTTAGTTAATTGTCCGGAACGTAATAGAAGATCTATGCTTTAATCAACGTGTCCGGTTGTCTGGCATGTGACTAAAGTTATAATTGGGAAAATCTACTGTTAGCATATCTAGTTGTCCAACACTATACATTTCTGATTGGATGAAAAACTACTATGCTCTGGACTTATTGTTCACGTTTTCATGGTTTATTATTTGGTTTATTTACGTGATAATAATTAATAATTTACTCTTTATTTAAAGAAATATCATAAAATTATCAAATGATTCTGAATACGATATACTTAAAAATATCGCTAATCTCTATCCCATTATGCAAATTGATGATGCTTATTTTAAAGGTATTCATTTTCTCAATTTTTATTTATTAAAATAATCTAGATGTTCTAATGTGCTTTAATTTCATTATTAGTAACTGGATATGATGTCATCACACCTGGATCTCTTGTTACATTAGTGGTCAAAGTTAGATACTTGGATTCAAATTCAGAAGCAAATTATGCGGAAATTAAATCAGCTGATGCTAAAATTGCAAAAGAGAAAAATGATGATGATGATGATGATGAGAAGGGTGAATATCTTGATAGTGAAGATGAATTACTTTATGGTGGATCAAAGGTATAAACGTACTTAATATCATC